GGTGCTCAAGGATGGAGTGATGGCACCAACGGACAAAGGAAAGACAACTGATGTCTTCTGCAAGGCGTTTGATACAGTCCCACATCATTACCTTGTCTCTAAGTTGGAGAGATGCAGATTGGAAGGGTGGGCTATATGGTGAGTAAAGAGCTGCTTGGATCATTGCAATGATCTACGTTCAGATAGAGGCTGATGGTGAGTGGTGCACCCCACACACAGCACCTTTACCAATGACACAGATGATGGGACTGAAGACACCCTCAGCAAGTTGATTGATGACACCAAGCTGAGTGGTTCAGATGATACAAAAGAAGAAAAGGACACCATCCAAAGGGACTGAGACAGGCTTGAAAAGAGGGCCCAGATGAATCTAATGAGGTTCAACAAGGCCCAACTGAGCTAATGGGGGACACCCAGCCCATGGCAGGGGTGGGGCTGGAGCAGCTTTTGCGTCTCCAGCAACACAAACCATCTTCTGACTCTATGATTTTAACAAGGTTCAACACACCAGAAGGACAGCTGAACTTGATTGAAAGCTGCACACCAACTGGAGAGGTCTTTCAGCTTTTTTTTATACAACCACCATCATTACCAGCAACTATTTAGCAAACACACCTCTCAGCTTGAAGTGCTTACGTACAATGAAGACAAGTTAACTTCCCCTACAGATGTAGGGAGCCTGTTCAGCTTTGTCTGATGTTTCCTGCAGGACTGTAAAGGAGCAGGATCTGCTGTCCCGTGTTTTGTTTTGAGGCATCTCCAACGTGTGCTGTTTCTAGAACTCACAAAATTGTAACTGAAGACTTCAGCTACAAGTTGGTCTGCAGTTTTGATTTCCACATATTCACCCATTTGCTGTGTATCATAGAATGGCTTGGGTTGGAAAGGACCTGAAGGATCATGAAGCTCTGACCTCCCTGTCACATGCAGGTCCACCAACCTCCACATTTAATACTAGGCCAGGATGCCCTATGCACACATTTATGCTGTGCAGCATTCATAGTCCAGTGAACAGCACTTCCAAGCATAACATCAAGCACTTACTGAAGGAGGGACAGATCTCCCCAAATTCTGCCTTCGAGTGTTTGATAGACAATTGCCTGAACGACTACAAGGATGCTGAAGGCTGCCAGCCAGCAATTAACAGCTCAGATTACTTTGATTAATCAAAAGAACACTTTTCTGTTTTGTTGTCATCTGCTTCCAGAATGAACAAGCCAATAAATCTGACCCTGGCACAGGGAAAGAAAATACATTCTTGTGGGGTCATGCAGAAGCACTGAGTGAAATGAAGAAGTAAAACTTCTGGTATCTTGCAATGGCTACTAATATACACAAACTCAAGAGTAAACTGCTAGTTTCTTTAGCTCTGCTTCCCAGATGGATTTTACCTGAAACCCCCAGGGGTATCCATGCTCCTCCAATAAAAATCTGGTGGTCTCCACCATAAGATGAGATCAATGCATGAATTTGAACATCTTTTGTCAAGGTGAGAGCTTGGGCCTTTAGGAGCCCAACCAGGATTAATGCACAAAGCATGGGTTGAAAGTAGATGATCATTATGGCCCTTTTCAACCCAACCCAGGCCATTCTATGATTCTATGAAAGGGAGAACACATCCAGAAAGAAGGCTGAAAGCAGATATTCAGCAAATCAACTCTACTGATGGCTCTGAAATGCAACATTGACAGCTGCAGAAAACAGATAAGGATGAATAAATGTAAAGCAGGAACACTGTTACTCTGCACTGTCAAGCCAGGAAATACACCTGCAACAGAAGCTACGTCAGGTTCTCTGCTACTCACAGAAACCTGAATGGAGAGAAAGGGCAGAATTCAGATGTAATCCTCCCTGCAACACAGGATTTATTTATGAAGGATAAAGAAGTGCAACAGCTTCCAGCACCCCGTCTGCACTCAGAAACACTCAGTGGCAAATCAAAGCGAGGCACCATTCATTAACAAACAGCAGGCAGCTGAGCTGTGACCAACCACATAACTCTGTTCTTGCTTACTGTAGGAGAAGCTCGAGTCAGAAACACCAAACACTGCAGATCTCCTCTAGTGTATTTTCACTGCACCCTGTCCATCCTCCCCTAGATTTCACAGCTTGGAAATACGTTTATTACATCATTTTGTGTTCCTGTACCATATGGAAAAGTAAAATTAAAGTTGCTTTCCCCCCCACCTCCCTACCCAAGGTGGTTACCCAAGCAGAAGGCTGACTTCAAGACCCGTAGCTGTACTGCATTCCCTGCTTCAGCCTGTCTGGTTTTCAGCTCTGTGTTTCACAATGCACTTAGGACCTCCCATGCAGAACTGAACTCCACACCAATTCACAACTCCAACCACCAGATATTTTGCTGGCTTGTAACAAACTGTTCTTCAGCTACAGTTCACCCCCCCCTCCCCCCCCCCCCCCCCACTTCACTACTAAGAGCAGGAAGACCAGAAGCACAAGAGACAACCCACCCCGCACAGGAAAGGATGCCTGCATCACAGCTTCCTCTTATTTCCTAGAAAAGTAGCCAAACAAAAAGCAGCCCAGGAGCACAGTACCTAACAGTGAGAGTAACAGGTGGATAGAAACAGCGTATAGAATCATCATAGAATGGCCTGGGTTGCAAAGGAGCACAGTGCTCATCCAGTTCCAACCCCCTGCTGTGTGCAGGTCGCCAACCAGCAGCCCAGGCTGCCCAGAGCCACATCCAGCCTGGCCTTGAATGCCTGCAGGGATGGGGCATCCACAGCCTCCTTGGGCAGCCTGTGCCAGTGCCACCAAGGCTGACCATTCAGAAGGGGGTACCCAGAACCACTCTGCTCTAAGAAACACATGTGAGACTGGGACAGATGAACCAGCATCCCTCATTATCCAGCAGAGCAAAAGCTTGGGGTGAATTAACAGGAATCCATCTGGTTTAGCTGCAGTAATATTGAGAGAGAAGCTGAGAGTGAGCAACCTCTCAGCACGGAAATGTGTTCAGAAGAAGAAAACCCTGCTTGAACCAGGCAGGTTGGGCGTGAGAGCTCCTGTATCACAGAGCAACAAGGAGACAAATGCAGCCCCCGAGCAGGGTGGCACGGGGGGGCTGGAGATTCGTGATCCTTGAGGTCCCTTCCGACCCGGGCCATTCTATGACTCTGAGCAAAGTGTCGTTGTGCGAGACCTCGATGAGAGTCCATCCCAAACACGGCGAGCGGCGAGACCGAACGAGAGGACAACCCAGCACCGACGTGAAGCTGAACACCAGGCTCGCTCCCAGAGACGGAGCAGCAGCTCCCAGGGCGAGTTTAGGACGTGACATCGCAACAGGAAGAATTGCTCAGCGAGTTAGCGCCGCGAGTTACACGCGGAAGGGCTTCGGGGAAACGAAAAGGGAAAGCGAAGCAGCAAGGCAGGCTCCGGGTTGAGCAGCGCCCGGCTCAGCGCTCGCGTCCCTCATCCTCCAACCGAAACTCACCTACGAGCGTCAGAAGGAGCGGAAGGGGAACCGGAGGGGAACTCCCTCGTTTCCCAAGCCCCGCATTACAGCACGCACCGAGCGCAGCCCTTACTGGCACGGCTAGGAGGAAGGAAGGCGAGGTGAACCCCCGCCCCAGGTGCCCCTCCGGGCTCGGCGCGGCCGCCTACCCGCGATGGTCTCCTGGTAGCCCTTGGTGAAGAACTGCATGGCGGTGGCCGCCCTCCAGGGCGTCTTCAGCAGCCCCTGCCGCTCGGGATCCTCGCCCAGCGCCCTCAGGATGGTGGTGTAGGCGGCCGCCAGGCTGGGCAGGCTCAGCTCGTTGTCCTCCTCGCTGCGGGGCCGCTCGCCCCGCCATCCGTCCCCGCTGCCGCCGCTAGCGGCGGACACACGCGGCTTCTCCGTGCTCAGCGTGGGGGATGGCGGTCCCTCCCGCCGTGCGTACCCGTTGCAGCTCCGTGCCGTCGCCATAGGCGCCGGCAGAGCCGGCCCGGCCGAGAGCGCTACACAAACCCCGGTCCCACACCGCCCTCCCTCAACCCCACCAGGCTCCCGCCCGACTGAGCGCAGCGGCCCGCTTTATACCGCCCGCGCCGCTCCCATTGGCTGGCGCCGCTCTTACGTCACCGCTCAGCCAGCCGCCGGGATCCGGGTTCGAGGCGCGGGCCGAACCACCCGCAAACCGCCCGTGGGGAGCACGGAGCTGCAAAAGCAGGGATGGGGGTAAAGGGAAAAACGACTGGCTGCTGCCTCCAGGGGGTCTTGGGATATGTCAAACAGCGCTTTTCCATGATGGAAATCCGTCATTCATTCCACATGCAATTACATATTCATCAGTATGTTCCCATCATATGGGATAATTCCATGTGCTGGTGTTTCTGTGCTCCCACCTGCAGCCCTGCATTCAATGGGGATGTGCTGCTGGGTTTAGTCGTTGGAACCAAAGGAGTTTCCGAAGGTGCCTATGTTCCTCGGTACTCCTCGGGCCAAGATTTTATCAACAATTCTCTATTAATTAACCCCAGTGCCCACTGGGCAACAACGACCACTAAGAACTCCTTAAGGGAACCACTGCTGTGCCAGAATGGCTGAGGAAGAACCTGGGCAGTATTCTCTGGGCCAAGTGAAGCCATCTAAAAAGCATTTCTTAAATGCAATTTCTGCACTGACAGCCATTAAAAGGCAGAATTAAATCACACGCTGTATTTTTTCTGCCATTGATTCAAGTAGGAGCACTGGCCACTGAACTCAGCACTTAAAGTCTGAGCTGACAAATTCCTCCTCCTCAACCCATCCGCAGCGATTTGTGTCGGCCTGATGTCTTGCTAAGAGCTCAGGCAGGAGAGCAATGCAGATCAATAGCACCATTAGCATTGAGCCAGAGCGTAGCCCCAGCACAGCCCTGCTGAGCTCTCCGTCCCAATTCTGAACCACGGATGGCTTCAGCTTCACCAGTGGAGCTTGCTGTGCCCGTGCATCTCCCCACTCCATTGCTTCCCAGCATTATTAGCCCAGGATCAATAAAGCCACTTGCAGAGCAGGCTGCTCTCTGGCAACACAGCACTTGAAATTGTTCACCCCCATTTCCTGACCATTTGTGTCCACTCAAGTCCTGCGTCAAGTGGCTCTTCACAGCTCAGGTAAAGATCAGCATGGTGCCTGCCTCTAAGTAAACGAATGAGTTGGGCCATTGTTTTCCTTTGCAGCAGAATTATATTACAAAGCTTGGAAAGCCAAAGAAAATATTCTTTGGGAGGTGAATACAAACCTTATTGCTTTACAGTACAAGTGTTCTTTTCTCGGAATAAATGACTGGCTTCCTGTGAGCCTGGCACTCCCTCTGAAATCAAACAGGTCTGCAATGCTCCAGCACGCCAAGTCGTCCATTTATAGATCTTCTCCAGAGATAAAGGGCTTGCCATGCTCTCCAGCTGCAGAGCTCAGGTGGATGCTCACTGCTTTGAAAGGCCAGCAGGCTGCACCCTCTGCTAGGAGTCTTTTTTGCTGGTTTTTGGCAGTTGTATCTGTCCTGCAAAGCTGGATGTGTTGCACGACTCGATCTGTTGATGTACAACAGAATACCCCACGTGCAAAACAAGACAGCAGGTTTTGGCATGGGATTGTCTTTAAGGTCAAATAACACGATGAAATGGAAGAACGCAGCAGTCAGAAGCAGAGTGAGGGAGAGGAGATGCTTTGTGCTCCTGGGATGTGGAAAGGAGCTGTGACAGTAGCAGGGGAGCAGGCTGAGATGCAGCAGCGTTTTCCATTGCTGCACTGCAGGCGTGGGGTGAGCACAGAGCCCCACAGCTGGGAATTAAGTCCTATTTTGAAAGAAAAACAGCTAGTCAGGTTTTAAGTTTTCTTTAAAGATCCATTCCATGTTTTCTGGTGGGTTTGAGTTCATCGTTCTGTAAACACCCAGCTCTGCTTGGCACTGCCCAGCCAGGTGGAAGCCTCCTGGCACTGGGAGGTTATTTGCAGCTCTGCCTGCAGCTGGGCAATGGAGCGGAGTGCAGCTGTGATGAAAGAGCTGGGGTCTGGAAGCAAGGCAGGTGCTGCTGCTGGCTGCTAATTTTGGTGCTGGGGCCAGCAGCAGTGCTTAGTTAAGGCTTAATTAAATGCCAGGGCTAAAATGCTGTTCCTTTTTGCACCTCTCCACCATTTTGCAAAGTAGAGGACTGCAAGAAGGGCACACCACCACCTCCAGCCCCCTACCTCTGAGATCCCAGCTGTAATGTAGGAAGCAGTTCTGCTGCTGCTTTCCAGCCCCGTGCACAGCAGTCAGATTCAGACTGTGGCCTCCAGGCTGTGGACATTGGGTCTGATGAAACCCACAAAAAATATAAAACAAAAATTAAGCCAGGAGAAAAGCAAACAGGAACTGGGGACTTGCAAATGGAATCTGACGTCCTCTCAGTTATTTCCATGAATTCATCCACTAAATCCAGGAGTCTCCCTCAAAACAGACCTTTGGCATGTTTGTTCAGAAGAGCCACGCGATTGCAAAGATCCAGCTCTCTGAAACCAGCCAGAAAACTTTTCTGCAAGTTTACTTTGGATGTTTCCTCCCTCCTACAGGAGCCAAAAGGACTTTGGATGCTTCGTGGGACCAGCTGTACCTACCTGCTTCCATTGCAGAGCAGGAACTGTGCTGGATTTGTGCAATTTGAAGATGTGAGACAGCAAACAGACACAGACCCAACAGCTGGATCTACAGACCAGCTTGGTTCTGTTTCTCTTTCATCAGCAGCACTCTTTTTCCCTCCAAAACAATGCCACTGCATCAGAAGCTACCAGTCAGCATCCTGCTCAGGAGGAATAAGGTAGAAATAATTCACTGACATGTGCCCAGATGTTCCCAAAGTCACCCAATCTGAACATTCTGCTTTTCAAAGGATTTCCATCTTAGTCATGTTTTGTTGGTGTTTTTTTTTTTCCCCATCATAATTTGGGAGACAGAGTACATTTCTAAGCCAGTTCCAGACTCTTTTCTTATCTACCTGAATTTTCAGCTCACCTTTTGAGCCTGCAAAGGACTTCAATGTCATGAGCCCAAGATATCAATGCACTGCACAAGTACACGATGCAGCCTTCATAAGGGAGCCCTGGAGACTTAATTTCTTCTTGTATTTTGGCCTGCATAAAAGGACACTGGGCAGGTAGCTCAGTTTGAATATGAAGAAAAAAAGAAACGTTGTCCATTCCCACTCACCCCATCTCCCAGGACCATGATGAGGACTCTAAACTGTCATCACAATTACCCAGTCCAGCAGAAAAACAACATTACACAGTTCACTAAGCCCATAGTGATTTTCTATCAGGATGTTTTTCTTACCACTGCTATCCTGTTGTTCTTCAGTAAACCCAAATGCTGAAATATGCCTTGCTGCCTAAAACATCCTGTACAGCCATCAATACCATCAATTCTTCTCAAAGTATGCAGACAATTGTTGGAATATCCCACTACTCTTCTGGATTTTCTGCTGTGTCAATGCAGTCCCTCTGTGTAAGTACAAACTTACATTAATTCTTACTTACTGTCAGCACTGAACCATAACATGAGAAACAATTACAAGAACAGTGGATCTAAAAAAGGGATTTAAATTAACGGGTCTTAAGATTTTTCCCTATGTGTTTACCATCCCAGCTGACATCATGACCCTTCTATTTTCTAAGTACAGGGAAAACAGGAGGGGTTTTTCTTTGCAGAACACCTCTGCAATGTACAAAAATCGCTCTGGATCTTCAACCTACATATTTTAATGTTAAAAATGTCTTCCCAATGGAGAATCATTTGGCTTTTCAGTAATAAAATGAAGAGAAATGAAGAATAAAAAGATTTGTAAAGCCAGAAAAAAAAAACAAACAGGATGCTGTTATGTTAAATTGGTTTATCTCAAAAAAAAAAAAGTTCTGAAACTTGAATTTCTTTCAAATGTATCTACTAGACACGTTGCCTCTTCCCCAAAGAAGGGTAAATATGACTGCCTTAAAGTCTGTTTAATTACAAAAACTGTAAAGGAAAGGAACAATCCCATTTCATTTTAAAAACAAACACGTGGAACAATGCACACAATTTCTGAGCACTGAAGTACAGACAGGGAAAGCACATTTGCACAGTCTGGCATGGCTTGTTTTTGCACACCTAACTCCTAATTCAGCTTCGGTCCTACCTGCCCTGGTTTGCTGTCCCAGCCTGGGTCAGGCTTCTCAGCGACTGCCTCACATGCTGACACTGCAGCTGACCATCAAGATGTTAAGTCATCATCTTCCCCTCCTTCTCATTCCTTGCACTGTCCTTCTCTTACAAGTGTTTGCAGCAGGCAGAAGGAATGGTAGAGAAGCCACGGCTCTAAAACCACAGGACAGTTCTGTACATAGCATATGCTCCCCAAAACAACTCACCCATATTTAGCACCAAATATTCTGAGCGTGCAGACACATGGCTGCCCAAAACTGTGGCACTGCACTTCTAGGTAACAGGTCCATTAGCATTAGTTCTTCTGTCTGTCTTTACACTAGCAACTTGCAAAGAGACCTGATGAATGGATTCAACATTTCTCTAAAGAGTCGATCACAAAATACTTTCTAAAAACATTTGGAGCAAGGCACTCCCTTTTTGCTAGTGCTCTTTGAGTGCAGCAGCACATTTCTGAAAACACTGCATAACTGCACTGAGAAAGCAGATGCTGAGGAGGTACCAGCTCTGCTGGTATTATTTAGCTCTGCTTGAATGCAAAAGATGACAGTCTGACATTGGTTGATTGATCTAAAGGCTTCTTCTTTTTGGATACATTCGACTCCTCCGATTTTTGCTCCTCATTCCTTTTCACCTCATCTTCAGCAGCTGTGGGACGCTTCCGTTTTTTATCTTCTGTGGAATCATTTCCTGCTCCACCTTTTGCTTTCTCAGTCCACACCTGTGAAGAAAGCACATCGTTAAGTAGAAAAGGACACAGCAGGCCACAAAATGCACTGCATTATTTTACATGCCCTCTTTCTCTGATTGTAAGGGAGCAATGGAGTAATTCCTGTTAAGAACTAAGGGAGGCTGCTAATCGAGTTGAGTAAAATGTCCTCACTTTTCTTTTGTAACAGCATTCACCTTCAAAAGTACAATTCCTTTGAGCCTGCAAATGAAACCGAAGGCTTTAATGGTCTTTCTGGACACATAAGAAAGCCAAAAGGCTTTAGAACCAAGCCCCAATGAATTAAGTCTCACTGTATCACTTTTAACTCCTTCCCTTCTCACTTGTTATTTCTCCATTGATTACATTTCTCCCAGATGCCCCATTTTGGGAAAGCAGCTTTCTGTTTTGTTAATTCTTAAGACATCAACACAGGCAATATTTTCACAAAGTGTACGTTTTAGATCATGGTCCAATTCAAAACTGAAGTTCCTGAGGAGGGACAACAGTGGAATATAAAGGAAAAAAAAGTGGAAATAATCCAAAAAATTGGTGAGGGAAGAAAGAAATCTAAAATAAAAATAAATTAGAGAACATTTCTTACCATTCTTTCTTCTGTTGACAGAATCCTAAACCGACTCATGCCTTCTTTTATTACTTCTGCTTCATTCAGACCAGGATTATCTGTTAAAATGTTTGCTCTGTTCTCTTCTAGCCACATCTGGAAACCTGTCTTTGGTCTTAAACAAGCACAGAAAGAATGTCAGCTAATGAAGGTTACAAGAAAACCAGATGCCCCAATATATCATTTCTAAACAGCACTTGAGAAGGTTTTTTGTTCTCCAAAGCAACAGCATATATAGTCAGCAGCTCACTTTCTCCTCTTGCTGTATGCTAACAGAACATGCTGACAAGGCAAGGCTAATCCAAGTGTGTTTATTAATTCTGTGATAGATGTGGAGATTAACATTTCAGGTTCAGAATGATAAAGCATAATGGTTCTCTTCCTTTCTGACAAGGTCTCCTCAGCCTAAAAGCAGAGCACATTGTAGCACCTTTCAGCTAATCCTTTTCACAGTTCTCTTTGTCCCATGCTTTAGAACCTTATCTGTTAAGGCCAATGAAGAGAATAGTAGTCCAAATGAATAATAATTACATTTGACTTCCTCAGCTAAATGAAGTCTGAATGAAAAGTCATTATAATAATGCAAGTTTCATGAGGACTGGGATTGTGGAAAATACACCTGCTGCAGAGGAATAACATGTATTAAGAGTGTTAGCTAGAAAGAGATATATTGCTTCAGTGATGCCAGTTTTTGGCTTTCTGTTTTTCCTTAAAAAGTATAGGAATAAAACTGTAAAACAAAAATACACAGCACAAAGCAAACCAGCAGCTCCCATATTAAAATTAACCGTTTACACATCCACATACAACGTTTAGCTTTCAGATCTTTGAGTCTGCCTAGGCATGTTTTAATGCTAAGCTTTCCCTGTATTTGGAAAGAGTACAGCAGCATGGCTTATCTTTCAAAGGTTATTATCAGTTTCAAAATCATCAAGGCAGAAATTGTTGCTTACAGCCCTGAAACGACACACTGTGCATTACACACTGTTTGTTTATTATTCATCCACACATTCATGCACACACTCTATGGATTTGTTTCAGGCTGATGCAAAACTTACACCTTGAATAAAGCTGCCATGCATAACTGGAAAGATTGAATAAACAGGAACTTTCTCTGCTCTGGCACTGTGGATGTAATAAGCATGTTATCAAACTGCCACAACATAAGTACCAGTTTGCTGTTCTTCTGAAGAAAACCCCCAAATGTGACAACTTGTGAGCTAAAACTTCAACCTTGATATTAAGGCACCTTGGCTAGCCCTGTGTCTTCAGAAACAAGCAGTTGTTGGACTTGCTGTTCTATCAAGATCAGACTATGGCACTGAGCAGCAAGTGTTCACTCACCTTTTGTTTTCTGTGTTGTCCTGTGCAGTGACTTGGACCACAGGGGGCTCATTTCCTGCTTTTTCTTCTCTTTCTCCCACTCTTTTTTCACTGCAGCTGGCTGTGCGTACCTGGAAGAAGGACGCTGCTGAAGCCTGCAGAAGTTGGTGCATTAAAAAAAGAAGGTGAGTGAAAAAATGCAGCAGTGCCACCCTCAAACAAGGCACATCACAGAGCCTAACAAAAAGCTTTTCCTAAAGGCATAGCAATCATTTCCATGAACGGAACAACTAATCCAAAGAATGTTACATAAACTGCTCAACTTCAGCACAGCAGATATTTACTTCACATTATTTAAAAGAAAAGCACGAGATTCACTGCAGAATATAATTTCTGCAAATGAAGAAACACTTTCTTATTCCTGTTCTGTGTTTGCATCAATTTCTGCATTATGCTTAAAAGAACACTGCCATCTACAAGGATTTACTAAATCAACAGGTTTCACACTTGATGAAAGCTGGTGAAACTCAATTGACTGTTTTTTGCTTATTGAAACAACATGAAAAGACCAGAAGCATTACCTGCTTGGACTTTGGCTTAGGAATCAGAGGCTTTATAACTGGAGGGCTCTGCTTGTTTACAGCTCGACTGCTAGAAATTTTCTTTGAGTATTTGCTCATAGTGTCTAGAACATTTGCTGAGGGGACCAATGGGTCCTTTTTGCCGGATGAGACCTAGCAAAACAAACAAACAGACACTTCCTTTATGCTCTGTCCCTCCAAGATTTCCACTGTAGTTGTACTGTTTATTTAGATATAATCATCTGCTGTGATTTTCAGAACGCCACAGTCAAACCAGCTTGTTCAAGATTCTTACCTTGAAGGGATTCACTCGTCCTTGGCTGCTTGATGCAATTACAGCTATTTAATAGGAAAGAAAAAGAAGAATGTAAAAATGCGTGCGCACACAACACACACACTGTAGATAAATAGAGGAAAGATCATTAGCCTCATCTGCAAAAAAACGTGGCTAACACTCATTTTTCATGTTTCAGCCTCTGTTGGTTGAAAATTAAAGATGATGACTGGATCAGAGGCATTCATTATCCCACACCAAAGCAAAGAAGTTCCCTTTAGGCTTGAAAGCATTTGTCTAAAAAGAAAAGCACTTTGTTAACTGCATGAAGGTCATACCATACATCCTCAGCTATTAGTCATCAGAAAAGCCACACTGGACCTACAAGTACAAATCCATAGGAACACCCACTATTTCCTCCATTTCCATTCCTATTCATCTTGCTGGAGGATGGCAGGAGGGAAGCAGCAAGAAAGAATGCAGGACCGTATTCTGCCCTGCCTGTTAAACCAGACTAACAGTCCTATGGCAGGGTTACTAACTCTGCTCTGTGAGTGCAATCAAGGAACATATCTGTAATTATGAAGACAAATCAAATGATTATTGTTCTAATTTTTCCCTGTCTGAAAGAACACCTTTAGGACACAGCCAGGCAGACAAACTGATTCAGCACTTGGCACAAGAAAGGTTATCAGCGTGGTGTTGAAGAGCATCATTAGGTAAAGATGACATCAACAGGAATAAGGAACCTCTTGAAAATGTGAACATAACAATCAGCATAAGTTACTCCTTGACAGCACTGTTAGGCACTGTATTTCAGTAGCAATGAGAGGACAGAAAATAAAAACAGGCACAGAGGTGGTGAGGCATGGCAAAGTTCTTACAGTGGAATAAATGGAGATTTACTCACCAGACTTAGGAGTAATCACCTCTGCTGCAGAGACTGCTTTGGAGAAAGGATTTGGCCCTTTGGAACAAAAAGGTACAGTAAAACGTAAGAACCAGTTACAAACAAAATCCTAAACACTCAAGCAAGTCATAGGAACCAGTCTGTACTTTAAAGCATGCATTTCCAAATTGTGCACACGCTTTTACAAAGCCATCCATCTTCTTTAACTGGATTTATCTTAAGAGTTCTATACTTATTTCTTCAACCTATTTTTTTTGAATTAGAAAAGCTAGTCATGTCTGAAAGAGAGAAGCATGATTTTTAAATAAATGCTTAACAATAAGGGGTAGACAACTATAAGATATTTATATTTACTTTTTACAGCATTGGCATAACTATAGTAAACCAGAAAGCAGTAGTTCTGTTTTACAGGTAAAGCTATCTTTCCATCCATCCATCCTTTGTCTCCTTTCTTTGGAGGTAAGAAGCTAACATACCCTATAGATAATCACTAAACTCATTTTGCTTTTCTCCTCCAGATCACCACTTAAAAGTCCCCAAATGAATATTTTCAGCACGTAGAAACACACAGCAGGATGGGACAGATGAGGAGGTGAATGGAGACAAAGTAAAGGAAAAAAAAAAAAACAGTCTGCCTTTGGTAATGATAGGAACATCAGAACACTGCAGACTGCCTGACAATTCTTTTGCAAGTAAAAGCCCAGATGCTGAAGAGGGAATACTCAGTGAACTGTTGGTCCATCAGTTCATCTCCTGCAGGACTTGAACTGAAATCAAATAATAGCATCACAGAGTGACCTAGCACATTAGAAACAGTGTCAGACAACAAAAAAACTCCCCAGGGATCCCTTTAAGCAGTTATGGACAATACACGAGGAGCAGTGACAGAGCAGGAGACACACATTCTGTTACTCTGCAGCAACTACAGACCCTGATCAGGTGGGCTCTGTCGTGCAGGGGATTCTGGCAACAGGAAGCTCAGGGTCAGAAGTTTCTGTATGTCACCCTGTTAGACCTGTTGCATATTTTTTCATGTGCTAAAGCCAAGAGGGATTAGAAACCACTAGGCCTGTTCTAACTAGCCTGCAGAAAACACAGCCCCTGCTACAGTTGCAAGCTGTCAAAACTCAGTGAAAGAAACAGTTAATTTATACTGGCTTCTACATTGAACCTCACCTCTTTGTCAGGTGGTGTGCCTGCCTTTCCTAAATTTTATGTAAGAAATAAAAAATAAAATAAAAAAACAGAGAGAAAACTCCATTAGGATGGTTGGACTATGTGATCTTGCAGGTCCTTTCCAACCTTGTGATTCTATGATTACTTGTTTGGTGCTATATACTGCTGAGTTATCCAAACTAAAAGTTATCAGGGAAATTCCAGAATTCCTTATCAAGTCTGTGAAGAACACATCCAGATAAGATGCCTTGATAGGACAAGGGGAAATGGTTTCCAGTTAAAAGAGGGGAGATTTAGACTGCATATCAGAAAGAAGTCTTCTACGATAAGGGTAGTGAAGCACTGGCACAGGTTTCCCAGACAGGTGGTTGATGCCCTGCTTCTGTTTTGTTTCTGCCCAAGCTCAGGCTGGATGGGGCTCTGATCAAGGTGCTCCTGCTCATAGCAGCAGGGCTGGACTAGATGGCCCTTAAGGGTCCCTTCCAACTCAAATGATTCTATAGCTTCCATCCCACTCAGAGAACAGATTATTCTTACTCTGTTTAGGCACTTCAGGCACTCCTTCTGCCTCCTCACACCCATCGGTCTCCTCAGCCTCTTCCATCTCTTGGTCCTGCTGAGCACTTCTGCCTGGCAGCCGGCCCCACTCTGTGGCAGAGGTGCTGTAACTAAAAGGAAGGAATTCATCAGGAAGGAAGAGGTGCCTGGAACTCCACCACATTCACACAGTAAACTGAAACGAAGGCTAACTTACTTAACTAATTTAGGAAATAAGATGAATAACACTTGGCACTTGTTACACCGATTACAATGCAGTGATTACTAAAAATCAAGTTTCATTAACCACTGCAGTTCAGTACAAAGCACTTGCAGTGGTTCTCATGTAGCTCTAAGACAGACCACACAGCTACCAAACCACCTGAGCCTCACACCAGTACAAGTGCAGGCACCATTCTTCAAACAGCTCTGCACACAAGAGCAAACACTCAAACACGAAGAGCAAGCTTTTGCCACCTTCTTCAGAGCTCACAACAAGGCTGCTAAGGACACTTTGCCACAAAGGTAAACACAAACAGAAGACACCTTCTGTAATCTCCATTTAAATATAAATACCTCCACTATGGTGAGAAATACCAGGCTACTTTTCTGCATAAACAAATGCACACCTGACAACAGAGGCTCGTATGTTCAGCCTGAAATTTAGGCAGCAGGTTTTCATGTTTAACCCAGTTAAATTCTAAATTCCCAAATTATAGCATGTACATTTCTTGCATTTCCCTCTTTAGTGATTACTAAAATGCACGCACATGTAAACAAAAGGTTCATTTCTCTTAATTAGAATGCCAGTATTAAATTGCTTGGGTGCTAAGAACAATGCAGTGTCTGTGGTGTATTTCAGCCCTCGGAGTGGGCAGACATGGGATAGCAACTCCCATTCATGCTCCAGAAGGGGGCAGACCATTTGGGAAGGAGTTTTAAACATGCAGTTTCACACAGGAGAAAAGGGAAAGGCTATAGATAAATCCCTCAGCTTATCGCTTCCTCTTGCCTAAAAAAGTTACAAATTGCATACAGAAAATTGCTGTGGGAGGACACTGCTTCTGATAAAACATTATGACATTTCTCTGCTTTAACTGACTGGTGGTTAGCTACTTGCTTCCTTCCAGCTGCATCATCCAGATGCCAAGCAAGAACACACAGCTCTTCCCATATGTTCCACAGTTCAAAACAAATGCAAAACAACAATAAACAGAGAGAGGAAAATAAACTTCTTTTGCCTCCAGAAAAACAGACGTAGGTATAGGAGGAAAGGTAGGAGCACAGATATAAAGAAATGAATGAACTGCAAACCTGTAATGTTTCATTCGTTTTGAAGAGCTGGGATTAGAGGTGAGGGAACAAGACACAGTGGGATACCCTGAGGTAGCTGAAAGAAGAGGGAGCTGGAGGGAAGTAAAAGGCCTTAAGGTGGATGTGGATGAAAAAGAGGTAAAAGGCAAAGAGAAGAAAAATAGGTTGGAGTCGATCAAAACAACAAAAGCTTAGAAGAAAACAGAAGTAAAAAATAATCAGAGCAACTCAGAATCAGCTCCACTTTGCCTCTGAAGCCACCGTTAAGAAATCAGTAAAAACATTCCCAGCTTTTTAATCCCAGAAATTTGCCTTACCCAGCATTCACATGAGCTGGGAAATCCTCCTCCTCCTCCTCATCCTCCAGAGCTGTTGCCAATTCACTTGCTTTCTCTACAGCCACCTCGCTGAGTCGCTCAGCTAAATTGAGTCTTCGCGAGCGGGATGCATACTTGATGGCTAAACTCACAACAGTCTGTGTCATGAGGTCAGCAAGTTCCACACAGCGGAATTCACGCTCCAGTTTACAAGCAAGCTGGAAGGAGAAAAGCCTTGAGAGTTACACAGCTCAGTGACACAGCCCTCTGAAGACTACAGGACCTGAACATGATGAGGTTTGTGAATAAAGACAAAAATCATCAAGCTTCTTTTAGAGGGTTGTTTTTTCTTTAATTTTTGGTTAGGAAGCCTTCCTTCTTTCTATCCTGTGATAAGCAATAACAACATGACCTGCCATCCACCTCTTATTGCATTTGGGGAGCACCAACTTCCACTGGATGAGCCAAACTTCCACTCAGAGAATCACATCAGAGTTTAAATCAAATGCCATCTACTCCAAGTTTCAGGGATCGTTTTTGTTTTTGATTTCCTTGCACTTACAGCAAACAATTTCATCAGAAGTTCCTGCTGTTCCTTCACTGGCTGACTTTTAGCATTTTCATCAAGCTCGTAGCCATTTTTTGATAAGTAATCCACATAGTTGTGAAATACAACTGAACGCCAGTATTGCTCCTGAAAAAAAGAAAGACATTCTGGAGGTCAGGTGGGGGGGAAACAAGGAAGCTCTGAGCTCAATGCCCAACAACTTACAAAGGATTTTATCATTCATTCTTAAGTCTTCTTTTCATTTTATAACGATGGTGAAAGGTAGGCAGCTCTCCTCAAATGCCAGTGCCACCTCAGGATGAACAGACCACACTAACATCCATCTACAAACTGAACAGACTCCATGTATTCTAAATCCCATTTGCACCACAAGCTTTCAGTAGGATGATTCTTAGATATTTATCACTTTGCTACCAGCACAGGCAATTCTTGAACAAATTGATTGTTTTATCTTGTAATTTCTGTCCCCCAGCAAAGTGGAAGGATTCCACAGTAACACTGGATCTGTAGGAGTAACACTCATTTGTGAGACAGCTGAAAAAAAACCCTCATAGCTGATGTTTTCCAGTGAAATACTGGTATGGTTATTGCACCAGCCTAGCTCTGTGGAAAAATAGCTCATTCAAAGCCACTCATTAGATCTATTAGGAATCATCTGTTTCTTCATAAGCACAACACACACTAAAGTACACATTCCCTCAGGCTAAACTGACAGTTCCCAAAGTTTCCCTTTTATTGTTTGGAAAGGACAGGAAAAACAAAACAAAACAAGCAAACCACCATGGTCCATCAAATAAAGAATACATTAATAAATAAATAGATCCTCAACATGAATTCCAATGAGTTCATAGAAGCAAAGCACTTGTTGAAACCCTTTACACTTCTATCAATGAGAATAAACTTCCAACAGCACTAGACAGTCTCTAAGTTTGAAGCCAGCATTTCATATTCATTTCTATTTTGTGTACTACAGCTGAACCCCACGACACCGTAATACACAAATCAATTAAAAATTGGATAATTGATATACTTTTCTAGGTATTCTCCTTTATTGATCAGAATGAGATTATTTATAAATATAAATAAATATTTTAAATGTAATTTATAATATTTTATATATACGTATACAATATACATAATTTATAATGTAAATATAAACCTTGTGTCAACTCTAACAGCCTCATTAAGTATTTTTCTAGAACCAGCTGTAAAGCAAAACAAACAGAAAAAAAGCCACCCAAAAGCCTGAACTCAGATAACCTCCCTTGCCAGGTGCCTTATGCAGAGTTTGTACCACTCTCTTCCTCGCAGAGATGATTAATAGAAAGCTTGTATAATCCCTGCTATGCGGATGTCTAAGACAATCAGCTGTGGTCTCAACATCATTCCATACCTCCATCTGTCCCTTTTCTGTTGTAACTTGGCAGTAAGGGAGTGTAAAAGATAATATTGCCACTGCAGGACGTGGAAGTGTCGGAGGGAATCGGGCTCCTTTGCAAGGAATACACCTGTGCACGGGAAAGAAAAAGCAGATGTGATCCTCATCATCTAAACCACATCTCCTAAGAAGCAAGGCACTTTAAGAGGATTTGGTCTTTAAAAAGTAGTAATTAAATTACTGACTTAAATATAGCAAGATGTAAGATTGCATTATGAAGGGTTATTTTTACACTGCAACCAATAAAAGATTTTGAAAGCAGCAAGGCACACGCTGCTCTTGTTCACATCAGAAACTCCAAGTATGGCACAGAACAGACACAGATCTCTATCTCACACAACACACAATTTGACAGCAATTACAAAACATAAGTGCAGTTTATCAAATGCACAACCTACCAAACAACAAAAGGCCATTGGAAAAAGAGCAGGCACAGACTGCTTTTTCTGATGAAGGTTTTGGACTTAACAGTGATGTATGTAGGCACACAGAGGGCGAAAACAAAAAGGGAGGGCATGCAGATACACAGATACTAACAACGTAGTCTTAATGTTTCATTGAACTAGTGCTCTGGTAACTATCACTTAAGCAACATAGTGATTGGAGAAGAGCTGTGCTTCCAGCAGCACCAACAAGCATTGACAAAAATGTCTGCTTTCATAGCTCTAAGCTGCTGTTTCAAACACTAGGGGAAAAAGGAACAGGAAGCATTAGTGCTCTGGCTATCCACATTGATTACAGCACATGTTGTTCCTACAATAACCCTCCCCACTCCTTATCTTCAGTGTGCTGGTGGCTTTGAATCGAATGCCCTTTGCAATTCAGAGGTCAGCACCATCCCACTTGGAGCAGAAAGACAAGAGGACTGACTTGCAGCTGATCACCTCACCAATGCAACGTGTCCTGCACATTCGTGGTGAACTGCATGAACAGCAAAGTGAGACAGCCTAAATTTCAATAAAATGCAACAGGCTGCCCAAGGAGGCTGTGGATGCCCCATCCCTGCAGGCATTCAAGGCCAGGCTGGATGTGGCTCTGGGCAGCCTGGGCTGCTGGTTGGTGACCTGCACACAGCAGGGGGTTGGAACTGGGTGAGCACTGTGCTCCTTTGCAACCCAGGCCACTCTATGATTCTAGGATTCTATGATCCAGTGGGAAAAGGATCACTGAATGAGACAACACACAAAGCTTGGCAACTAAGTGTCTCTGGTGCTTGTTGCAATTAAGAGGAATACTCACATTTTGAAAGTAATGGGTCACTCTCAGCTAGATAATTATTTGAGCACATCAGCACTTTTCCAGAATCTTTCTTGTGGCCACAGTTTAAATATTAACAGAGTACCAGATTGTTCTTATTTATCTGTGCCTAACAATGTAGATTAGTTACAGGATTTGAGTCTTCTCAAAGGGACAAAAGGGAAAAATATAGCTAAAAACTCAGAAATTTAAAAAAATATATCAGCAACAGAAGCAGAATCCTAAGAGCAACCATAAGCAAAGTGCAGTCTTACAAATGTGCCTGCATCAGAGACGTGATTTCATAACAAAGTGCACATGCCTGTCAGCCAAGGCAAGAAGCTAATATTAGTTTGCCACACATTATAAAACCAAGAGTTTACTCAAAACAAACTTAGTAACGAAACATCCATGCTGAATTACATTCGGGAACTAGAGCCATTACTGTGTATCTGTTTTAGTAACACTCATTTCCAGTTTCTCTTTCTAGAAGGTAAGACAAACAGAGCATTTCCTTTGGGGTATATCTGACCTCAGCTGCTGGGGGTTTTCATGGATGCCAACGACCCAGTAATGATCAGATTTTCCTTTGCAATGCTCTCGTGTGTTACACACCGGAATCCAAGTGTTCCCAAGTGCTCGGTTCAACATCCTCACAATTCCCTCAGAATCCACGTAACACGGGGTACCTGTTGGATACAAATGCAGAGCATTATTCTGACAGGCAACTAATTATGACGTGGCTGAGTTTGAACTGGTGGATACTGCTGGGAAATGACGTTTTACATAACTCAAATTCAATATCCTCTCACCCAAGCAGCGCGACAGCGCTGGCAAACTGCTTTCCTTAGAAAGAAGCGCCACCTTCTGACAGCCAGTGCTACAGCAAGGGAACTGATCCCAGTTCAGGACTTCAATTAATTTTATCTTATTAATTCTATTTGCATTTCATTTAATTTCATACCTTCTGCTGAGAATCCAACCCACACCAAATAGGACTTCTGTGTAAGAGAAAGAGGGTCTCCGTGCAAAATTTGTTTCTTCTTCTTTCCTAGCTCCATCAGCTGTACCCCAAGGCACTGCTCACCATCAAATCCAGTACCTAGGAAGAAGTTGGTCAAAGACTGTGTTAGAAAGCAAATAGTCTTTGTCACTTAGCTAGATTTAGGTAACTTCTGAATCAAAAGGCAGTGTTATTCACAAACAAACTCCCAGACAAGAGACTACTTGCCACTTCGGACATACAAAGTATGCATAACAACTAGTTCCTTAATTTCCTCGAGTAATTAATCATGGCATGACTGAAACCTAAGTTCAATCTATTTGTGCTACTGTTATAAAATTCTCCTGTTCCCCACAAGTTAATCTAGGCATCCTAATATAAAACATATGCTTTACTGTCAGATGCTGAAGACTTACAGGTTGTGACAGTGTAACCATCATCAAGACAAGGGGGAAAAGTAAAATACTTCTGATGACTACACAAATACAGCATCTGAAGCCAGGAACAGACAAGGAATGAAAACACGAACTCAGGACATAAAAAGGACAGAAGGGAGAAATACCTCTGTGGTAAATAATCATCAGCTGCTCTCCATGCCCTGCCATAGACACCACTGGACCTGGGAGACAGAATATCTCTTTCTGAACTCCTCCAACTGTAAACAGTCGAACCAGCAAGGCACTAGTGGCACAAGCAGCCCAGCCCTGACCTAGGCAGATAGCTTCAATATCTTCATCCTTTGGCATATCTACTGTCCACTCCTTGTTTGCATCCCAGGAGCTAAAATGAATGCAGTGGAGTTTGCTGAAAGAGAGAAAAAGAACAAGAGGTATGTATTTAAACAAGAAAAAATAAATAAAATATCTGAAAATATACCATGCACTTCAACTACACTAAGCTAATAAGTTTCTATCAGAGCCCTTGA